GTGAGTCTATAATAATACCTACCAGGAAAGTATTATGATGACAAGTTGAATCTATTGTAATACTTCCTGAGTATTACCATTGATGACTATTACCTTGATAAACCGAGTCTCTTATCATATAATCATGTTAATTTTTGCTTTACATGGAGAATGGCTAATCATAGTTTCTGAAGATTATTTCCTCATAAGATGTTACACAGTAATATATTCTGTTTATTTCTAACATAGTAGGCGAGTCTCTTAAAATGCTGCCAGGTGGTAGTGTCTTACAGTGTAACTCTCATGATGCTGCCAGGTGGTAGTGTCTTACAGTGTAACTCTCACAATGCTGCCAGGTGGTAGTGTCTTACAGTGCAACTCTCATAATGCTGCCAGGTGGTAGTGTCTTACAGTGTAACTCTCACAATGCTGCCAGGTGGTAGTGTCTTACAGTGTAACTCTCACAATGCTGCCAGGTGGTAGTGTCTTACAGTGTAACTTTCATAATACTGCCAGGTGGTAGTCTCTTACAGTGTAACTCTCATAATACTGCCAGGTGGTAGTGTCTTACAGTGTAACTCTCATAATACTGTCAGGTGGTAGTGTCTTACAGTGTAACTCTCATAATACTGTCAGGTGGTAGTGTCTTACAGTGTAACTGTCACTGTCCACACCTGCAGCTCTCCACAGTGTCGTCATTGCTTTACTGAACACAGTCACTGTTGGTCACTTGTCAGAGAAATATCTGATTGCCTCGACTAAAACCTTTCACCCTTCAAGGTTGGCAGGAATGGGATGCCTTCATAATTATCAAGGTCTCTTCATCCAAGAAAATGGAGATTATTCTTCCTTTGCATGGATCGAACGTAATTTCCTCGTGTTCCTTAGGTGGTGTATGATGCCTCACGGTTTAGCTTGTCACCACGATTATAATTATGTTATATACTTTCACTATATATAAAAATGGAAACACTTGCCCCTCGCCCACACACACACAACCAAGGAGATACTTAACTCAGACCCAGAGATACGGAGGAAAGCAAAATCGGATAAGGAAAAGGAGAGGACACTCATTATTTATGAGCTTCCTGAGGCAGAAAGGGAGACATATGATGAAAGAAAACAGGGGGAAATTAAAGAGATGCAGAGCATCATCACGGTAACATTAGAGGCTGACTCAACTGGCAAATTTTTAGAGACTTGGGTGGTTCTAGAGGGAAAAGAACTGCCCAATCAAACTGACATGCAAGTCAGAAAATACATGAAACACAATCCTACAGCGGAAGTCACTGTTAAAGGGTTCACAGAAATACCAGCGAGTGTACCTTGACTGCGACAGAACACATAAAAGCATAATAACATAAGAAAGAAGGAACACTGCGGCAGGCCTACTGGCCCATGCGAGGCAAGTCCAATTCTCCTACGGCTTAAGCCAACGCCCTAACCTAGTCAGGTCAGGTTACATTCAATTAAGGAAGGAGCACGGCACGTGACCTAGTAGCACAAGCTAGTTAGGTCCAGCTGACACTCACCCACACCCACTCATGTATTTATCTAACCTATTTTGAAAACTACACAATGTCATAACTTCTGTGACAATACTCGGGAGTTTGTTCCACTCATCCACAACTCTATTACCAAACCAGTGCTTTCCTATATCCTTCCTGAATCTGAATTTTTCCAACTTAAAGCCATTGCTGCGAGTCCTGTCTAGGCTAGATATTTTTAGCACGCTATTTACATCCTTTATATTTATTCCTGTTTTCCATTTATGCAGCTCAGTCATATTCCCTCAAATTCTACGCCTCTCTTGAGAATGCATATTCAGGGCCCTCAGTCTATTATCATAGGGAAGATTTCTGATGCATGGGATCAACTTTGTCATCCTCCTTTGTACGTTTTCCAGTGCATTTATATCCATTCTGTAATAAGGCGACTAAAACTTTGCAGCATAATCTAAATGAGGCCTAACCACAGATATATAGAGTTGAAGAACAACCTGAGGATTTCTATTATTTATATTTCTTGATGTGAAGCCAAGGATTCTGTAAGCATTATTGCGAATACTTATGCATTGTTGTATTGGCTTCAGATTACTGCTAACCAGAACTCCTAAATGCTTTTTGCAATCAGTAATATTAAGATCTACATTATTTACATTATTTAGTTTATATGTGGCATGGTTATTTTCCTGTCCAACATTTAGAACTTAGCATTTGTCTATATTAAACTGCATCTGTCACTTCTCCGACCACTGCATCAGTCTATTCAAATCATCCTGGAGTGCTCTAATGTCCTCATTAGAATGAATTGGACGGCCTATTTTGGTGTCATCAGCAAATTTACATATGTCGCTGCTTATTCCATCGTCTATGTCGTTTATGTAAACTGTGAACAACAAGGGGCCCAACACTGACTCCTGTGGAACACCGCTTGTGACGTGCCCCAGTTCTAATTTCTCACCATGTATGCAAATTCTCTGCTGCCTATTTGTCAACCATGCCTCTACCCAGGAAAAAAATTCTCCTCCTATTCCGTGTGCCTTAAGTTTCCTCAGTAGCCTGTGATGTGGAACTGCATCGAAAGCATTACTGCAGTCCATATACACAATATCATATTCATTACCATGATCTACCTCCACAAATACCTTTGTGAAAAGAGTTAGTAAATTCGTTAGACAGGAACGGCCCTTTGTAAAACCTTGCTGAGATCCATTAATCAATTTATGCCTTTCAAGATGGCTGCGAATTGCCTCGGCAATTATTGATTCCATAAATTTTCTCACTGTGGAGGTAAGGCTTATTGGTCTATAGTTCAAAGCTAAGGACCTGTCACCTGACTTGTAAATAGGTATTACATTTGTCATTTTCCACTTGTCTGGCACTATGCCAGTTTGTAGTGATATATTGAAAAGATTAGCCAAAGGTATGCTAAGTTCCTCTTTACATTCCTTTAACACCCTTGCAAACAGTTCATCAGGGCCTGAGGATTTGTTAGGTTTTAATTTCTCTGTTTGTCTGAGGACCATATCGCTAGTTACTCCAATCGTGCATAGTTTATTATCGTCCTGTTCTACATAATTTATTATTTCTGGAATTTCGCTTGTATCTTCCTGAGTAAAAACTGAGAGGAAATAAGTGTTGAAAAGTTCACACATTTCCTTATCACTGTCAGTGATCGGACCTGGGTTACTCTTAAGTGGGTCTATCTTGTCCCTAATCTTACTTCTGTATACCTGAAAGAACCCTCTCGGTTAGTCTTCGAATCTCTTGCGACCTTAGCCTCTAATCCCTTTTTGCTTTACTTATTCCTTTCTTTATATCTCTCATTAATTGATTACATTGATTTCTTAACTGCCCATCCCCTGTTTTGATACGCCTATATATGCCTCTCTATTGATCAGTGAGATGTTTTAATCTATTGTTTTTCCATTTGAGATCATTTTTATTAGATCTAATTTCCCTACTTAGAACAAAAGTTGTTTGGGCAGCTAGAACTATGCTCTGAAATACGTCATATTGGCAACTAACACCACCTACCTGACCCACAGTCAGGTCATCCCAATTTAGCCCATGCAGGTAATTTTTCAGTCCCATGAAATCGGCAAAGCGGAAGTCTGGGACAGACTTGATTGCAGTTATCTGGGTAATTCCATGATATATTGAAACTAAGTGATTTGTGATCGCTTTCCCCAAGCTCATCATTAACCTCAAGATTATTAGATAGTGATTCTTTGTTGGCAAGAACCAAGTCAGGCAGATTGTTTCCTCTAGTTGGTTATGTCACAAACTTTTTAAAAAGCTATCCTGAACCGTATCAAGACAGACACTAGACTCAAGATTTCCTGTTACAGTGTTCCAATCAATTTGTCTATAGTTAAAATCTCCCATTTACAAAACATTGTCATATCTGGACGCCTTATAAGTTTCGTCCCATAGCAGTTTACTTCACTCTTTATCAAGGTTTGGGGACCTATAAGTCACACCCAAAATTAATTTTTCACGAACCTCGAGAAACTGTAGCCAAACAGATTCTGTGTCCGATGTTTCTAATCTTATATATGTCTAATACAAGACAATTTCAATTATCTCTGATAAACAATCGCCACACCACCACCCTTCCTGTTGACCCTTTCTGTGTGGAATAGTTTATAACCCTGTATGTTGCATTCAGAAGGCATTTCTCTTTCTTTCAAGTTGAACCAGGTCTCTCTTACAGCAATATCTATATTACCTTCACTTGCAAGAAATCATAGCTCATCTATCTTGTTTCTTAGACTCCTACTATTTGTTATAGTAAACCTTAAAGGGCTAGTCACTCGTTGCCCCTCTACATCTCTCTTTGTTTGTTGAACAATTTCTTTTGCCTTTCCTTAGCACTGTATTGTGGATTTGTCTTTTAAACATATCCCTGATGTATCCCGGTAATATCTGCTGTTTTCAATCCTTGTAAAACAGCATGATTGTTTCCCACAAACAAACATACCTCTATAATCTATCGCAGTTTTTTAAAGTCTAGACAGTTATCAATACTCTTTTAATCGAATGGCTAATGCATCCAATCAACCCAAGAGAGAGATGACCTTATTCTTCTGACATACATATCTCGTATATGCCATAGAATTTGTCCCAGTTATCAATGAATGGAGATTGCGAGTTCCTGTGCAGTACTCATGTCTAGCCTGCAATTTATACCTTTGCCAATAGACATCCTTTCATTTTGTCCATCCCTTTCTGAGGAAGTGCTACTATGACTGGGATCCCTCCCTTAGGACATGACTACATCTATGTCAGTCGCCCATAGTGCCATTGTCGATTAACTTTCCTGAACTGTACTTATCCAGCAGCTCTGTCTCATTGCCCTTCCGATGTCATTTCCAACACACTACAGCAGATTATAGGCTTGTTCACATTACCTGACATAATATTATCCAAACCTGCTGACTATGTCACCACAACACCCAGCTCCTGGGATGGCACACACTCTGTCTGACCTTCCTTCTCTGTTACAAAATGCACAGT